TTAGATCGAGTATTATAAACCTTTATTATAGATCGATCCTTAGCATAAGTTAATACCAGAAATTGAGCGTTTGATCTTGCTTAAGGTCAAAGGATCTAATGAACAAATTACTGGCTATGTTGAAGTCAATGGTAGATGTATATGTTATTCAGGGTGGGTTCGTATCCACTTAAAAATCTGAATTTCTTTATACTAATTGTCTATTTTACTAATTTTTCTCCCCTTAAAATTTTATTTATGTCTGTCCAATATAATATGAAAATTTTATGTGATTAATACTCATGTATCTGTCCTGAAAAATATTTATATATCCAATATTGGTTGAAGTGATTTTAATATTATTATTGTACTTGAAATTTAATTTCAGCTCAGTGATTTCATTGTCTATATAAAGGCAATAATCTAGGGTTCTTAATCAATCACTGAATCTGCAACCAAAACTCGTTGTCTTCTTCATTCTCTTGTTTCATTTTGATTCTAAAAGCAGTGATGAAAATGAAGACTGGTAATGGCATTTTCATTATCGTTCTTTCTCTTACTTTGTTCGGAATCATCGATGTTTGTAATGCCCAGAAGTTGAGATATAACTTCTACAGAAAAACTTGCCCACGAGTTGAGAAGATCGTAAGAGAGATCATCCAGAATCGAACCCGAAATAATCCGTCTTTGGGTGCTAAGCTTATTAGGATGCAGTTCCATGACTGCTTTGTTAGGGTAATCAACTACATTATAGATTTCTTGGGAGCCAAGTTATATATAAATTGACACCTTTTCTGTTGAATACCATGTTAGGGATGTGATGCATCGGTGCTGTTGGACAAGGTTAACAATTCGAGGGCCGAGAAAGAAGCGATTCCGAACCAATCTTTGAGGGATGTGATGCATCGGTGCTGTTGGACAAGGTTAACAATTCGAGGGCCGAGAAAGAAGCGATTCCGAACCAATCTTTGAGCGGTTTCGACGTGATTGACGAAATCAAGACCGCAATCGAAATGGCTTGCCCTCAAGTCGTTTCGTGTGCGGATATTGTTGCCTTGGCAGCTCGTGATGCAGTTTCTGCACCTGTAAATAACGCATCTTTAATCACACCATTGAAGCAACAAGTTTTCAGACTAATCTCATTTCATATAGTTTTGAAATGTTTTTTTTGCAGTTTAGGAGGTCGCTTTGGGGCGTTCAGCTCGGGAGAAGAGATGGTAGAGTTTCACTGGCAAATGAGACTAATAGAAACCTCCCTGGACCCTTTGCAAACTTCAGTAGTTTGATTCAATTATTTGACAGGAAAGGCCTTGATGTTAATGACCTTGTTGTTCTTTCAGGTATAAGTTTCCTTCTTACTCTACCGCTTGCATATAGGGACGAACGCATGATTTTTTATATCTATGTGCGTATATATGACAGATATATAGTTTTGAAATAACCCATTTTCTTTGTAACAATGTTGCATATAGGGACGAACGCATGATTTTTTATATCTATGTGCGTATATATGACAGATATATAGTTTTGAAATAACCCATTTTCTTTGTAACAATGTGGCATTGATGAAACAGGTGCACACACCATTGGAGTTTCTCGCTGTGGAGCAATCTCAAGAAGGCTTTACAACTTCACAGGCAATGGCGATGCCGATCCGAGCTTGGATCGAGCTTACGCCCAAACCCTGAGAACGCAATGTCCGAACCCAGCAAGTCCAACAACAACAGTGGAAATGGATCCTGGAAGTTCACTGTCATTCGACAACCATTACTACGACATCCTATTACAAAACAAAGGGTTGTTCGTTTTCAGATGCTGCACTTCTAACAGACTGGAAATCCAGAAGGGCCGTGATTCGGTTGCGAAGATCCCGTTTTTTGTTTTTCGATGCATTTGCAAGGTCCATGAAGAAAATGGCTGCCATTGAAGTTCTTACTGGAAATGCCGGAGAAATCAGGCAAAACTGCCGTGTGACTAACCCAGTCTAATAAGAAAAGAATATTTGCATGCATTTTCGTATCAGAAAAAAATAATGATTTAGTTATGCAAAGAATGCGAATAAGTTAAGGAATATAACAAGTTTTCTTCTGCTTTTTTAATATCAAGTTAATCATGTATTAATTTCGATTCAATTGTAATAGATCATGCTTAAAACAATTGTAATAGATCATGCTTAATATCAAGTTAATCATGTATTAATTTCTCTGTGTCCTTTTTACCTCCAACTCTATAAATGATTATTTTCTCTTTATTCCTTTAATGATTTAAACATATATTAATTTATCTCATCCATCTTCATAAAACCGTAGAAACAACAGAATTACTCCTCAAGTATTTAAAGCTTTTATTTCCAATTTTTTAAATCTAAAATCTTGATTAAATTAGAATAATTATGTGTCATCTAATTCAAACATTTGATTATAGGGTAAAGTATATAAATGGTCCCCCGACTATAGGATGTTGCTTTGTTGAGGCCTCTGACTATTAATAGTTATAAAATAGTCCCCAAACTATATGATGTTGCTCTGTTGAGTCCTTTGACTATTAAAAGTTACAAAATGGTAACCTTACTATTCATATGTTCCAAACTCATCCTTTTCCGTTAAAAAATTGGCGATCATTTGAGATGGACGTTAACATGTTGATTAAGATATGATAAAATCTGGTTTCATAATTGTTTTAATTGTATTTTGTGGATCAATTTTTTGTTACATTATGTCGTCGGGTCAATGCTTGAAAATTATGCTGGTGAGTCAGTGCTTGAAAGCAACGATGATGCCAGTAGACATTATTAAAATATGATTTTATCATATCTTGGTCAACAGATTAACTTCTATCTCAGACAAACTTCAATTTTTTAATAGAAAATGATGATTTTGGAACATATAAATAGTCAGGTGACCATTTCGTAATTTTAAATAGTCGAGGGACTCAAAAAATAATCTTATAACCAAGGACCATTTTATAACTTTTAATATTTATGAAACTCAATAAAAGAACATCTTATGGTCAGAGATCATTTGTGTACTTTACCCTTAATTATATTATCATTTTGTTCTATTAAAATTTTCAGTTCATTATATATATATATATATATAATTTAAATTTATTATTAATAAAATTTTAAAGTAAACATATAATCATGTTTCCTTTCAACCTTGATTTTAAAAGATTGAGTATCTTTAAAACATATACTATCTTTATATTCTCTTCAAATTTATCAAGAAAAATTATAATTTTTATTATAATATTTAAAATTTGTGGGTTTGAAAGTTCACCCATTCTCGTTCAATATAAGAATTTTCGAAAATGAATAAGTTAAACAGTACATTAAAATTTTTATAATATTATTTTATTTAATACACATTACATCACTATAAAATAAAAAATGTGGAATTTCAAATGTTATTTTAATTGATTCTTACATATATTTTTATTTTTGTTTGCAAACATATTTTTATATATCATGTTACTAAAATATCTATATAGTTTTACAATTTTATTTTTTAAAATAAACATATAAAGAAACGGCATGCACCACCTCCATTCGGAATTGACATATCTATTTTTTATTCGAATCTTTTGGTTAAGTTTTTAATCTTTTCCATGTTTAATTCTTGTATGATCTAAAGAGACTAATTTCTTGTGTCAATGTTAAATGTCCAAATTATGAATTTAATTTACGACGATAGTTGTAAACTCTTATCGTATGATCCTTGTATTATCTCAAACTACGTAAGGAAGAGATAATTGTGAGTGTGTCTGCCCTCCCTGTAAATAAATAATAATAATAAAATAATAATTATGAATTTTTATTGTAATTTTAGATATTTTAACTTGTTAGTAAAACTAATGATTTATATTCAATATATATATATATATATAATAAATTTTATATGATCTATGAATCAAATAATTTAATAAAAAAAACTGATCCAAACGTTAACATATAATTATTTTATTTAGCTGAAGGAGTGTGAAAACTGCTAAAAAAAATTCATTGCTTTTAATTTTTTTTTGTTTGAGTGATATTTTTTTTATTAAATTAAGGTAATTACAAAATAATGTATATTCTAAATACTCTCAATCATTTCACAATGAATGCCTAATCATCCTTATAGTTGCTGGTGCCCAACCTTTTTTTTGTTTGAGAGTTAATTGAGCCTTCAATCTTTTTGTATTATGTTAAGGTGATTACAAAGTAATATATGTTCTAAATATTCTCAACCATTTGACAATAAATGTTCAATCACCCTTGCAGTCGCTGGTGCTCGAACTTATAACCTCTAGGATAGCAACGATTTTTTAACCACTAAAATAAGATAGTTCGTGCATTGAGCCTTCAATCTTTTAAAGAAAGTAATCAAGCTCTTCCATCATAGAAAATTTAATGGTCACTTTATACAATAAAGGTCAATGATGAAAAACATTAACTAAAGTAACTATATGTACAGTTTATCAATTTGATGATATAATTGAATTTAAAAAAAAATAAGTAAATTAATTTTTATAATTTCAATAACTTTTACCTATTTAAATCTTTTTTTTAAATTTAATCCAAATTAAATTCATCTATCCGGTTCAATGAATGACCCAAATCTTAGATAATTCAAATGAGAATTCATCTAAATATAATGAATCAAATATAAATCAAATCACTTCGGTGGTTAAGAGACTTATTTTTTATCTCTTGAGATATCAGATTCGAACACCACGTGTGTAAGGATATGCACGTTCATTGTCAAAAAACTGAGTCTTTAAACAAATATTATCTTATATTCACTCATATTTATCAATATATATATACATATAATGAACCAAATCTCTATTTTATATCTACAATTTAAAGAGTAGTAAGGGAATAAAACTATTGGTAAGTCCCCCTTCAAGTTATAACCGCAAGCCTCAAACATAAAATTCCAAATTTACTGCTATAAAAACACAACCCCCTTCGTTTTTACTTCTCTTTTCATGCATTTTCTTTCTTCTACTAATACTTACAATTCATTTTTACAGTCTCAATGGAAAACGAGAAGAAAGAAGATGGTAAACAAGTAAGAACAACTTTTAACATCCCTTTTCTCCATTCTGTTACATCCCTAATACCATATTGCATTCTTTGCAATTTACTTTTATGGGATTTTGATCAAATTCTTGTTTTCTTTTCGTCGCTAAAAGGCAATTGTTACAGAATTTGAAGTTTCAATGCATTGCAATGCATGTGAAAGAACCGTCGCCAAAGTCATTGCCAAATTTAAAGGTATCATTTTCCAACTTTTTTCCTCACATTGCATCTTTTCTTGTAAAAATTATCATTTTCCATGAACATTTTCCCTTCGATTTTTTTTATATAGGTGTGGATAAATTTACGACGGATATAAACAAAAACAAAGTTGTAGTTACGGGCAACATTGATCCACAAAAGGTTTTGAAAAAATTAAGGAAGAAAACAGGAAAGAAAGTAGAAATTGTGGGCAAAGTAGAAGAAACGGAAAAGGAAAAGGACAAAAATAGTGACGTTCGTGCAATGTATGAAAATTCGTCACTGTTAGATAAAGAAGCCTTTATGATGTTTAGCGACGAAAATCCAAATGCATGCTCAATCATGTAAAGATTTACAGTGTATCAATTTTGTATTTTTAGGCATTTTATAAATGTTAAGTCAGAGATAAAAATATTAATGTAAACTTCAGTACTTGGGCTATTTGCTTTTGTTGTTCTTAGTTTTATTATGGGATGTAAAATATAATTTTTTTCAAAATTTAATTTATGTTTCAATTTGGTATCCATCGTTAAAAATTTGACAGGACTGCTAACATGGTATTTTTAAAAAAAAATTCAATGATGATGCGATATTACCTTCTGGTGGTGACATGTCAACATCAATGTTAAGTTTTTAACGATGGAGTATGAAAATGAACTTGGGTTGTTTACTTTTATTGTTCTTAGTTTTATTATGGGATGTAAAATATAAAATTTATTTTTTTAAAATCATATCTAACGCTTAATTTATATTTCAATTTGGTATCCCACTGTTAAAAAATTGACAGGACTGCTGACATGGTATATTTTTAAGGTATATTTTTATAGTTTTTTTAAGATAGATCCAGTAGTTCCTACAGTGCAGGAGAACATTGGTCGATTGTCTCTCGTGATATAACAACGAGATAAGCACAATAGTAACACAAGTGCAATGACCAACAAATTATAATTTCATCTTTTTCTATTACCGAAACTATTTTTAAAATAGAGATTCACAACTACTTGTGGGTTGAAAATAGTATGAGAGAACCTTGTGATGCCCCTCCCCTCATAAAAGAAGCATTCACATTCCTTAAAACAACAATAAAGGTGGTTGTGTTGTTCGAACGTGGTTCTTCATCCATGCTCGCATGAACTCATAGTCAAACTAACAATCGGATTAGTCATATGTAGGGACAAACACAAGATACAACAATTATCAATAGAATATAAAAAAATATCTAAAATATTGATGATGAGAAAATTTTAATGGGACAACCGCCCTAATTTACTTTCCTTCCTTTAGTCAATCCCTGATTATAGATGTCTCGATATTCTTATGGGATACAACGATTCAAAAAGAATCCAAATGCTCTAGGCAACATTGAGAATTTTCTCCAACTCGAGAGCTCTAGTGGTGAAGGATGAATGCATAAATTGTACGCCAGCTAACTTTCATATTTCCCTTAACTTGGTGCGCCCTATGAAAACATGATTCATATCTTCCATCGTACCACAACATTTGCACGGCGGATTAATATATTTTTAGGTGAAATATCTGAGAGGTCACTGAATTATATTCAAATAATCTTTTTTATCATTAAACTTTTAAAAATTATAAAATGTTCATTTAATTTACCCTGAGATTACAAAATCTAAATGTGTTACCTCTAAATATGCAAGATATAAACTGGTTTGTCCTTGGCTTTTTTGCAAAATTCTTTTGGCTCAAAATCTAAAGGTCCTAGCTATGACATGTATGAAGCATGCATTTGAGATTCCTGGATCAAACCGTTTGACAGCAGTATCATATATTAATTGAAACCTTGAATGATGCTTTCATGCGAATAATCTTTCGTTGTGTTTCTTCGTCTAACATGTATTTTTTTCCCAGTTGGCTTATTGTCTATATATTTTCCTACATGATATAAGGCAATAATAAGCTAATAGCCGTTGAAATAAATCATTACTAGTTAATAGCAACAATGAAGCGGTGATTCTTTCGTTTTCTTTCAGTAATTATCGGAAGACGGCACCAATTTTGATGTTAGTTATCATAATTGGAATTTTTTTATCTCGTATTTTTTATTTTAGTAACTCTTTTTTTATGATATATTTTTCTTTGTTTTTATGGTAATCTTTTTTCTATCTTATGACATGTTTGTTTGATCGTTGAGTCGTTTTGTGTTTATTTTATCATTTTATATAATAAAAATATAAGAATTAAACTAATAAAATTAGAGATTAAAAAATATTCTATCATTTTTTATAAGATAATTAGTTGAGCTTTTTGACCATTTGCTTTTGTTCTTTTAAAAACATTCATTATCTATATAGATAATGAATGTGAGACATATGAAATTATATTAAGTTGCCTTTTCGTTTAACATTATATCAATTGACTCCAATGTCTCTGGTTTTCCACTATCTTTTTTCACATATTATGAACTTTGTCTCTTTCTTTCTTTAGTGATCTCTTTCTTCTTTAGGAATAAAAGATATTCAAATTAATTTGGTTTGAAAGTTGAGTCATGGATCAATTTTCCTTTTTTGTTATTGTTTTATTCTTTATATTGTTTTAACTTTCAATTTCTTTTTCCTCCATTCTTTTTGGGACACTTTTGCTTGAAGCTTTGTTGAAGGATACGTGTCAATTGCATATGTCACAACAAACTCATTAAAATTTTGATTAAATGCATTTTTCTCCATTTACTTAAAAAAAATTCATCAATATTATCCTTGAATTTAAAGTGACTTTAATATTATCCTTTAATCAATAAAAATCGTCATTTATTGTTACAGTATTGACATAGCAGTTTATATTTCCTTATATTGATAAAAATATTATTTTAATTTTAATGGACAATAAATTATGAATTCGATCCCGAATAACCCTTGCGTTACGTTTTATAAACTAATTTCTCCAATGTCATGGACAGCCACTACCAATTTTGATGGTTCATGAACTAACTTTGTCTTTATCCTTGTTTTATTTATTTTTTACGCGATCTCTTTCTTCTTTAGAAATGCAACCAAACCCACAATCACTGGGAGTGATGGGTCAACTGCATTTTTTTAATTACTACTATTATTAAATGTCTGTTTGGAGAATGTGAATGGAAACTCCTTTTTGATTAATGCTTTTGTTGAAGAATATGTGTCGGTAATTGCTTACTTCACAACGAACTCTTTCAAATCTAAATTTTCTTATTTTCTGTAGTCATCTTAGTGATATATATATATATATATATGATTGAAAATGAATGTGTTGCATTGTATTAAAAAATACAAAACTAAACAATGTCTCATTAAAAAATCTCTTTAATCTTAAACTGAATAAAAAGAGTACACCATGTCGATATCGAAACTAAAAATAACACAATTGTACCACAACTTAGGCAAATGTTTAACGCACAGAATAAACTAGAAAAGCAGTACAGGTGCGACTACACCTTTAAGGTCTTAGACTCGAGCATCGTGTATCTAAGGATATGTTCTATATTCTTTTTAATAATATTTATGGTCCCAAAAATTAAAATTTACCAAATTTAGATTATTTATTTTAAAATATTTACACATTCATGAATCTGCATCATTTATTTCCATCGTTACTTGATTGAATAAAGTATTTTAGGTAAAAGTGTCTTTTAAGTCTCTTTTAATTTTTTAATTGGTCAAACAGGTCCCTCACAAAAAAAGGTTTTTGTTCATTAATCATTAAATATTAGACAAAATATTTACGTGACTTGAATGAAAACGTGAAAGTAACTTAATACTTATGAAAGATCAAACAGTTTAAAAGAACCAATATTAAATTATTAAAATGTATATGAAGGGTTAAATTTATTGAATTATTTTAAATTAAGATTAAATTATAGAATCTATAAATTTTAGAGAACAAAATTATTATTATATCGGGTCATGTCAACATTCCTTCTAATATGTGAGTCTCTTCGTAATAATATTTTAATTGGCTGACTAAATTAAAAAAAAAAAAGTGATCCATTTGTTATGTTTTACATAATGTGTGACCCAGACTGTATTTTACCCATAAATAAAATAGCCAGTGTTGAAATATGTAGAATTGTTCGGTAACCTACTAAATATTTATGGTAAAGATGTAGCATTGCTAAGATATATATATATATTATAAACTAACTACCATTCATTTGAAATGAAAGGAAAAATTTTGTACATAAAAATGAAATTCAAGCTGAAGAATTTTCTTCAGTTTCTGGAGGACATGATCCGAAGAGCCTCTCTTTTTTGTCCAAGCACATTGAACACTGTTGCAGCGATGTGCGATGGTGTCAGACCAGCTTCAGCCAACTGGTCGGCTGGTGAGCCATGGTCAATGTATCGATCCGGAAGAACCACCGGCCTCCACTGCAAATCGAGAAAAAAAATAATGCAAAGAAACAAGATATTATACGGCTATATCAACTTCCTTATGAACATTTGGATTCACATACCTTTACGTTGCCATCAAGAAGACCATCAAGAGCTAGGAACTGTGCCACATGAGAACCGAAGCCCCCGATCGACCCTTCTTCGACTGTGATCAGAACTTCATGTGATTTTGCCAGTCTCCGGATAAGGGATTGATCCAATGGTTTACAAAATCGTGCGTCCGCGACAGTTGGCTTTAAGCCGTGGGATTCCAATAACGAGGCAGCTGCTAAGCAGCTTTGAACTGCAGTTCCATAGCCTAATAGTGCCACTCTGTCCCCTTCAATCAGTACCCTTCCTTTGCCAATCTGTAAGGACATTTTTTGCATTTCGGATTAAGTTTTCAGTATGTTTTGTTTAGTCTTGTGCCTTTACTAATAGGAATATGTACATATTTGATCGAAAGTCACCTCAAGAGGAACACCTTTGTTCCCTGGCGGCAACTGAACTCCGATCCCATTTCCTCTTGGGTAACGGAAACAGCTAGGACGGTCGTCTATGGCTGCTGCCGTGGCAACCATATGAAAAAGTTCAGCCTCATCGGAAGGAGCCATTACGACCATGTTGGGAAGGCATGCCATGAAAGTGACATCAAAAGCCCCACAATGTGTCGGACCATCTGCGCCAACAAGGCCAGCTCTATCCATTGCAAATCTTACAGGCAGCTTCTGCAGGTCAACATCATGTACGACCTGTTGCAGCAAATCGACACATTCGTTATGAATTCGAAATGCTGATGTTTAACATACACAGAACATTGATATTTTACAATTCGTAAAAGCGAAAGGTAACGTTGATAGTTTGCCTGATCATAAGCCCTTTGCATGAATGATGAATAGATTGCACAAAAAGGTTTCACGCCTTCACAGGCCAACCCTGCAGCAAAGGTTACAGCATGTTGCTCGGCAATCCCTACATCGA